GGTCACACCCCGTGGGCTATTTTGGGAAGTGGGCTTTGGGGGGGGGGGGGAGAAGAGATTTACTCCCGAGTAAACCGGCTTCGGCTTCCTCCTCGAACTCGCCTGCTTGGCCACCCTTTGGCTGTACCAGCGACACCTGTTACTCTTCAGCGGGAAAGGCCCCCGGGCCTGCAAGGATTGTTACACGAGAGTAAACCCGATCGACTAGGGAGGCGCTGCTTCCCGAAAAAAAAAAAAGAATGCCATGGGCTTAGACTGTGCGCTGCAATTACATTTGGAAGGGGAGAGGGAGAGAGAAAGTGCCTGCTTTTATGTTTTCTTGGCGCCTTGACTCGCAAGTCCTGTGACGGCCTGACGCTCGCCTGCCGCTGGGGTTGCCAACAGGTCTGGAGGGAAATGTTTTTTCACTGTAACATTGACGTGACATGTGGAAATGGGTAGCTGAGGCTTTTCAGGCCAGGTTTTCTTGGCGCCTTGACTCGCAAGTCCTGCGACGGCCTGCCGCTGGGGTTGCCAACAGGTCTGGAGGGAAGTGTTTTCTCACTGTAACAGAGACGTGACACTATGGAAAGTGGAATATGTCTTACCTGGGTTGTTATTAACATTATTTTTGGGTGGTCTAGGTGTTGGCTTGGGTAGAGTAGTTTCACTCAGAGCTTTGCTAGCAGCAGAATGATGAGCCTTTTTAATACTGCTTCCTTCGGCTTCCCATGACTGCTCTCCAAGAGTCAGCTGCACTGTGAACATCTCCAAAGATGTAAAAGACAGATGTCAGTAAGATCAAACCTTGTGAAACAGTCTCCTGCAAAAGAACTCTATTCCCTGATATGTAATGAAATCTGTGTCTAAATATCAGCAAATGCTTACAAGCATTTTGACTCAGGGATGAGATGCACATGTGTTGGGTATTACAAGTTGAAAACACTCAGTATATCTGGGGTTAAATGTTTGTTTATGTTACTCACAGGAAGTCACATGTTTCTCATGTAACCAATGTTCTTTAGCTGTAGGATGCCCGGGAATTTTCTCCCTGATCCAGGAATTTGATTGGGACTAAAGTGTCTTGGATTTTTAAAATTGTAATTCAGCAGAGTTAAAATAACTTAGCAATGCCAGAGTAAAATAATCAAGACTCAGAGTCCATGTGTGTTTAAAATAAAAAGGTTTTACTACAGCCTAGCATAGGGAAAGGGTAACTGGGATGAACATAACAACACAGCTAAATAGCTACATCCTCACTCTACAAAGGACAACACTAGAAGAAGCGACAATGGCTTCTGTACTTCTTCTTGGAAACAGCAAACAAAGAGAGGAAGAGAAGCCATAAAATGCAAAAACACTTTGACACTTTGCTTCCAATGAAACTCCTAGATCAGGAAGAGTTTTCCCGGGCTTGCAGATCTAAACTACCATTGGCTTATATAAAAACATGTGATTTCCTGTGACAACACAAACAGACATTTAACCCCACATATACTGAGTGTTTTTAACATGTAACACCCAGCAAAGTGTCAAGGTGTATTATCATTTTATGGCTTCTTTTCCCGTCTTTGTTTGTTCTGAAGAAGAAGAAGAGCAGCCATACTCTCTCTCTTCTAGTTTTGTCTTTGTAGAGTAAGGATGTAGCAGATTTTGCTCTGTTGTTATTTTCATCCCAGTTACCCTTCCCATCCTAGAATTTAGTAAAAACTTTATATTTTAATCACACATGGACTCTCAGTCTGAATTATTTTACTCTGGCTCTGCTGGACTATTTTATCTCTGCTAAATGCCATTTTCCAATATCTCACTATCACCCAACAATATTTTCTCTCCAGGCCAGCTGGCAAATCCAAGGGGCAGCTCGCATACCAACGAATTCCCCTGCAGCTAGACAACAGGATACCCAGGAGACGCCAATTAGCTAGCTTTCTGTGGGAGGAGAATTGGCCAGCCTTCCCCACGTGTGAGCTTCGCTCCCCGAAGTCAACAAGTTTACACGCATTTGTTCCTTCCTGTTGCACGGGAGAAACGGGTCACGGTTCAATGGGATTTACTTCCAAGTAAGCTATGCATGGAAACCTTGGTTTCCCGTTAATTGCAAGCCCCGCCCGACAGTAGCGAGAAATAGAAATATCGCAATATTGAATGGATCGGCTGAAGGACACTCCCGCCCAGTGTTCCCTCTAAGCTGAGTCAGTGTGAGCTAGCTCACAGGTTTTTAGCCTCCGGCTCACACATTTTTGTCTTCGCTCAGAAAGGAGGGCTCCAGAGCAAAGTAATTTAAGCAGCAGCCTAATCGCTAGCTCACAACTTTAATGCCAGGAGCTCGCAAAGTAGAAGTTTTGCTCACAAGACTCCACAGCTTAGAGCAGTGGTTCTCAACCTTCCTAATGCCACGACCCTTTAGTACAGTTTCTACTTCATCACTGTAATTTTGGTACTGTTATGAATCGCGACTTGGCGAGGCTTGGGAGCCCTATCCTTTAATGCCAGGAGCTCACAAAATAGAATTTTTGCTCACCGGACTCCACAGCTTAGAGGGAGCATCCCCCCCCACCCCTATTGATCGGAACGAATCCCTTCCGAGAACCAGGTTTCTCAGTGAAGTTTGCCTTGAACTGTGACAGGATAACAGCACGATGTCTCTCGACTGTCAGTTTTGCAGAATAGGGCGACAGGAGAACCCAACGTGTTTCGGGGGGTGACTTCTTCAAAACTGATTTTCGGCTGGGGAGAAAAATCCAAGTCCATTCGCTCGGATGTTTCCGGCTTGATGTCCGTTTTAAGCCTCTGTCCTATGGAGATGCTTGATCGAGAAAGGGAGTTGGGAAGCAGGCCGGAAATTAGGGCTCCCGACGGCAACGCCCTCAGCCCAAACCCATTTTCTTAGCAGCAAAGAAATCTCGATTGACGGGGACAATGGAGTTCTCGACCGGTGGCACCCAGCGCCGGGCTTAATTGGCGTGTTTCTGGGTTAACCGGGTCAAACCCAGTCCCCGAGAGGTTTGCTTGGGAGGAGGCCCCGCGGTCGGGTAAACTGGAACCGAAATCCAACGCCTGGCGCAAGAAGCAGGGAAATCGTTACGTCAGGGTCAGTGTTCCCTCTAAGCTGAGTTCGTGTGAGCTAGCTCACAGTTTTTCAGCCTCCAGCTCACACATTTTTGTCTTAGCTCAGGAAGGATGTGGCTCCAGAGCAAACTAATTAATGCAGGAGCCAAATGGCTCGCTCACAACTTTAATGCCAGTCGCTCACAAAGTAGGAGTTTTGCTCACAAGACTCCAGAGCTTAGAGGGAACATTGGTCAGGGTTAGACTCCCCTGGTCATGTGAAAAGCTATCAGCCAGATCCTCCTTCATACTTCCTCAAAAGTGATTTCAGGCTGCTGGTCACACGCAACATAATCCACTTCCAATCCGCTTTGGGTGCACTTTCCAACTGGGTTTTTTTTGTCAGTTCACACCATAAAATCCAGTTCCAAAGTTCACTGACTGTGTATTGAAAGTGGATTGTTTTAAAAGAAGAGGAGGAGGAGGAGGAGGAGGAGATTTTATTAATACCCCACCCTTCACTTGGAGTCTCAGAGCGGCTTACAACCTCCTTTCCCTTCCCCTCCCCACAACAGCTACCCTGTGAGGTAGGCGGGGCTGAGAGAGCTCTGACAGAAACTGCTCTTTTTCAAGAACACCCCAGATGATAGTTCCTTCATATTCCCAAGAGCTTGAGTCAATGAGGAGTGGGGAATCAAACCCGGTTCTCCCAGATTAGAGTTCGCAAACTTAACCACTACATCAAACTGTTGGGTATTACAAGTTGGAAATACTCAGTATACCTGGGGTTAAATGTTTGTTTATCTTACTCACAGGAAGTGACATGTTTCTCATGTAATCAATGTTCTTTAGATGTAGGAAGCCCGGGAATTTTCTCCCTGATCTAGGGATTTGATTGGGACTAAAGTGTCATGGTATATTACCATTTTATGGCTTCTCTTCCCATCTTTGTTTGGTGTTCTGAAGAAACAAGAAGAGCAGCCATACTCTCTCTCTTCTAGTTTTGTCTTTGTAGAGTAAGGATGTAGCCGATTATGCTCTGTTGTTATTTTCATCCCAGTTACTCTTCCCATGCTAGAATTTAGTAAAAACTTTATATTTTAATCACACATGGACTCTCAGTCTGAATTATTTTACTCTGGCACTGCTAGGCTATCTTATCTCTGCTAAATACCAATTTTTCAATATCTCACTATCACCCAACAAAGGTTATGGGCCCAGATTGCTCCCGCAGCACCAGAAAGC